GTTGAAAAAGGGAAAATGAAAGTAACTTGGACTCATAAGTCGTATGACATAAAAATGTGATTTATGTGGACAAATATCTCGTGTCCGGCCATCTTTATCAATTGCTAATGTCTTAGTTATTGCTCATACTGTGTTTAGCATATCTCTACTGGGCGTTGGCTCACCCTTTATGGGACATTATTTTCAGGTTCAGGTAGCATGCCACCTCCAAGGACATAGCTTGGGAGGCTAGAGGCGGACATACTTTTTGTCGTTTTACTTTTGTTGTATTACATGTAATTTCTGGCCAAGGGCTTAATGTGTATGAGTTAGTACTCTTTTGTTGTAACCAAGTGTTAACTTGGAAAGCTGTAAGCCCTTAGGGCATTTGCTTTTGTTGTTAACATGTAATACTTATGTAATGGAATTCTGATAAATGGAAGAATATGGAACTTTTACATATCAATGCATGTCTTATATGTTGGGTTTAATGTTATTATTTTGAGGGCGTTACACCCTACCTCAAATGGAGAGACCAAATAGAGAAAATGAAGGATTTTGAAGGTGCTCCAAACCCAATAATTTTCAAATCAAAATGAAGAGCAAGCCAAACCCCACACTTTATATAGGGGGACCAAGGCAGAAGATCACTTGATCTAGATGATTTTATAGAGAAGTTGTAGTCTAGAGTGAGAAGCTCTCAAGTTATTCATTCAATGAACTTCATTAAATAGATTAATGTATCTTACATATTCATAATAGATACATAATGCATCTCTAAGATTCATTCATAATGAATCCATCTCATTCAATGTATTAGCATTAGTCTTCTATACATTGTATATATAGGTGTATTCATCAATAATTAGTCACCATCTAATTGATGTACATGTATCTTACAAATGAGATGAATCTAGTATAATCATGCATAAGCTTTCAAAAGTTAGAGAGAGAGAGAGAGAATGGCCTGAAAAAGTAATCCAAAAAGTTGTTTTTCGGACTGATATACAAACAGGTCCGTTCGAGCATCAAAAGCCCCGCTCGAGCGTGCAACCCAAAATCTGGACATCAACCCTTGGTTTCTAAACATAACCAACCTGTTTCAAACCTGCCCAACACGACCCAAGACTCATATACGAAGAGTAAAGGATGGAAACGGGAATAAGACAACAACACATCCACGAGACCGAGTCCGAAATACAATTAAACAATGAAGGAAAAATCTGGATTGCTATACGTTAGGGTTTGATTTGTAATTTATAAAAGAGGGGTTTTCCATGTTTGAGTCAAATATGTGCTAGAGACTTGAAATTGGGGTTGTTTATGAATTATGAGTGAAATATGAGCCTTGGAGGCAACCATGTGAATAAGGGAAAAATGCCCTAGTTATATTGAATAATTAATTTGGGGAAAAATGTGTAATTTTGTGGAAATTCATGAAATTGGGAAATAATGAGATTGAATGGTGTAGTTGGATTAATTAATCACTCACCTATGAAAATGTTGACATTATATCTGTTGATGCATTTATTATCTGTTTAGAAATAACTACTTTGGGTTATCGGTGGAGGATAGTCTTGATTGTTGTAGACACTGTATGTTGATTAGGGAAAATTGAAACTAATCATTTGGAATATGTCATTGAATATGACGATTGGAATAATACATCGAATATGTTATTGATTGATCATTGTATATGATGAGTGTTTAAATACATTGTATATGTATATTGTTTAGGAAGAGATAGGGGATGGACTTCATGGTTTGAGAGGAGATAAGGGATGGACTCCATTAATACAGCAAATATGTGTATTAATTAAAGTATTGAAGTGTTTTAATATGAGCCGTTGTCTCATTTAATTGTTTGGCCAGGTTCTGAGCCATGTTTATATAACTTGAAAATTGGATAAGTAAGGGAAAGTGAAATGAAACATGGACTATTTGTCATAGAACGAAATTGTGTTACAAGTTGTTTTATAAGTGCTAGCCATTTATCAAATGTTAATGTTTTAGTTATTTCTCATACTTGGTTTAGTATATCTCTACTGGGCATTGGCTCACCCTATATGGGACATCATTTTCAGGTTCAGGTGACATGCCACCTCCAAGGACATAGCTTGGAAGGTTTTGGGAGTTGAAGACTCTTTTGGTTGTTTTGTTATTTTGGTATTACATGTAACTTCAAGCTGATGGCTTAATGTGTATGAGTTAGTACTCTCTTTTTGTAACCAAGTGTTGGCTTGGAAAGTTGTAAGCCCATAGGGCATTTACTTTTGTTGTCAACATGTAATACTTTTGTAATGAATACTCTAATAAATAGAAATATGTTTTATTCTCTTATGTCTATGCATGTCAAGAATGTGGGTTTATATGTATTATTTTGAAGGCGTTACATTGATTATTAATAAACAAGGCACACCGGATGATGTCACCAAAAATGTAGTTTACATAGAAGTTTTTAGTGGCATTGATCAATAATTTTGTTCAAGAGTTTCAAATGTGTTTCATTTTCCTAGAAACAATTGTTTTATTATTTCTCTTATAAATCTGAACTATTCATGATGTAGACCACACACATATATGGAAGGCCAGGATCATTTGGGAGTGTGAGGTCTCAAACATTTTCCTTCAAAAAAAGGTGCGAACCTTTATGATTCACGATTTGGTATAATGCCATTTCGATTCACGATTTGACAACTATGACTAGAAGATATAACCTTACTAAAATGCCAATCAAGGTGACTGTTAAAACCAGGTTACAATCCAAATCCCTATATCATAGCACCTTGGCATAAAAGAATCAAATAGCAAAACAAAGAAAGAAAATCATACCTTAAACCACCAGTTTTGCACAGTGAGACACTCCACATGACCAACCAACCTCACAATCTTACTCCAATAACTATAATACTGCAATTTGTGAGGGAAACAAAGGTGTGCTTTAACCAAAGACGAAGCCTTCAAACCATACTTTCCCATCTCAAAACCAGCAATACTGATTGATATCAGATTCGGTGCACAAATCTCAACCGAACTCTCTTCATCCCTTACAAAATTCTGAAGCGATAACTCCTTCAATTTTGCCGAACAAATCTTCAAATTCCTAATCGCCCAGCAATAATCGATCCCCAAAATTTCAAGATTCAGACACCCTAAAATCAAGCCTGAAACCATGTCGTCCGACAAGCTGACCTGATCGAAGACCATCGATTTGAGAGAATGAAATCGCATAGTCGATAAATTCGGCGGGACCGAGAGGTAACAGTGGCAGAGCTTCAAAACTCTAACTCGGCTGTTTCTAAGCACCCCGAAAGGGAAATCGTACAAGGCTTCGAATCCGAGTCCGTCGTTGTCGTTGTCGTTGTCGTCGTCGTCGTCGTGGTAAATCCGATCGATGAAGAAGTCGAGATCGAGCTCGAGGGCGAGGTGATCGACGGTGTAGCGAACCCAAGAGTTGACGTGGCAGGAGTAGAAGTCGTCGGAGAAGTCAAACTGGAGGCGGAACTTGAGGAGAGAGGAGAGGGGGGGTCAGAGAAGGAGAGTTCGGTCAACGAAGTCGGCGAAGGAGAGGGAGATGAGGAAAGGGGTATCAGCGGGAGGGAAGATGGAGTAGTCGAAGCTGAGAGAAGGGACGGAGGACCATAGATTTCGCCATTTGCGAGAGACGGAGCTAGTTTTAACGGCGTCAATTGTGGGGAGGAAGGAGAGGATGTAGAGGAGGAGGTCGACTGGGAGGTCGTCTAGGTTCATGTACGGGGGCGAAATATCCTCTGCTTTCCGTACTCCTTGGAGTTCAAGCTTTGCGTAATGGCGTCTAACCTGACAACACAGAGAACGGTGAGCTGCCCGGCTGTGGTATGCCGGATAGATCCTCCGACGATCAAGTCAGATCACTAGAGGAAAAAGGAGGCTATTCGAGAGAGAGAGAGAGGGAGAGAGAGAGAGAGAGAGAGAGAGAGAGTATTTCAGATAGCGCAAGTTTCTTACCTCTAACGTTCATCCTCCCTTCCTTTTTCTAGGCTGGCCATGCAGCCTTAGGATTGTGCGCGCACTACCTCTGCTGTCCTTCCCTGGATAGTTGGCTGTGCTCGCCTCCCACCACCTTACACGTGTAAAGGCCAAATCCTTTATCCAGTACATGCAAAACTGCCAAACGGTACTGACGCGTGCCTGGAGCAGATATCCTCTCCCTCACGCCATTGGCTCAAGTGACACACCTGACCGGCATACCAAGACCGGCCTATTCCTTGGAGAAAATCACAACCACAAAGAACACGACTGAGCTTCCGAGCTATCCGGTCGGGCGCACGCCGACCTCTTCCCGGCCTAGACTCTTTCCGGACTGTCATCTTCTCGGTCGCGCCGTGCCAATGCGCGCCTACCGCCAAACGCCTCACAGCCACAGCTCGGCCAGGCCTTAGAGCATGCCTGGTCGGCAAACCTAGCCCGATCGTGTAAAACAGACCGGAGGGCCGTGCCGATTGAGGAGATAGCTCGGCACCGAGAGGCTTGCCATACCTGCGTTACCGTAGCTCGGCCGTACTGACCGGTGCAAATCTCCCCTCTCAATTGCCCCTTAATCCTATCCGAGCTAATCGTGATTGGGGTTACCACCATGACTGAGCTAACGGTCCCTGAGCTGCGCTAGTACCAAGCCGAGCGTGATTGGTTTCAAAGCCTTTACCGAGCTATCCCATTTGGTCGGTCACTGCTTCCGTAGTCTTGTCGAGGGCCGTACAATCGTACTGACAGCCGTCCTTTCGATGCCACGTGGCTTTATCCCGTTGGCCCCGTGCGGCCCTAAAGCTGTCTTTTCATGCGCAAAATTCAAACGGCGCAGTCGTTTGGTTTTTTCCCCCCCTCTTTTATGCACAAACGAAGGGTCACTTCAACCCTTACTGCTCATCTCTCTCAAGCCCCAAAACCCTTGCTCTCAAAACCCTCGAACCTCTACCATTACTGCCATTGCTACCTTTTCGATTCCTCTACACCCGTTTTCGTTCCTTCTAAGGCTATAATCGAGCTCTTGGTCGATTGATCTCTTTGGCGTCCGTCGCTGGTAAGTCTCTTCACCAACCCACCCTATTTTCTGTCCATGTTCTTCATGTTTTCCATCTCGTGTTCTTCGTGTTTTTGCTTGGAAATGCTAGGCACCTACCAATACCTTCTCCATGGGGTAGTATTGGCACACCTTAGGGCAAACTGGAACTGGAGGGGTGAATGGGGCCTTCGTGCCCCTGTTTCTCCTTAGTTTGAATGGATGGGCCTTGAACTTAGGATGAACTGGATGAACACTGGACAGAATCGAGCTAAATGCTCATTTAGATCCGTAAATCAGACTTAACCGAGCTAAAATTTGTTCGAGGTCTTTACTTGGGGCCTTGACCGAGCTGAACACCTAATTAGATCCGTAAATAAGACTGAACCGAGCTATAACTCGTTCAAGTTTTCTTCTTGGGCCTTTACCGAGCCGAAAATAGAGAATCAGAACCGAACTAGGAAGGCCAAATTGGCCAAGTTGTCTAGTCGAGTTAGGATTGAACCGGTCGAACACCCAAAAACCCTTCATCGAGCTAAAAAATCTACATTGAAGTCGTGCAATTTATGCCGTGCTAACCCTTGGACTTGTTTCTTAACAATGCAGAACAAACTAGGACCGACCAGGCTCGTCCAGAACCATCACTGGTGGAGCTGAAAGTCCGAGCAAATACACCAAAATTTTTCACCGAGATACAAATTAAGTCACCGAATAAAACCGAGATAGATGGGGAAGTACCGATTCATGGTGAGCTTGCCTGGTGCGTTTGTCGAGTTTCGTAGGGAGTACAATATTCCAGACGATGTCATTTTAGAGCTGGCCAAGAAGGGAGATACCCCTTAGGGCGACCTAGACCGGTGCCCCTTCACGGTCGTGTCCATAATCGAAGGAGGACTTCGCTTCCCAGTCCAACCCTTGATCTGCGAATTCTTGAGGCAGACAAGGCTTTGTCTAACCCATGTGTCGAACAACACATACAAGATAAAAAACGGCATGGCCGAGCTAAACAGGAGGCTCGGTCTTAATCTCGGTCTTGCTGAAATATTCCACCAGTACAGCCTTAGTAAAAATAAAGGTGGGCTTTGCTAGTATCTAAAAGTAAAGAAGGGCCGAGCAAAACTCATCGAGGGCAACCCGGACAAGGAGACCAACGATGACAACTTCTTGTGGGTGTCCGGTAATTACGAAGACACAGATGTGCCCATACCGGGCTGGTATATTAGGAAAGATTTTGGAAGTGCTGGTGAGTAGCTCGGCTAACCGCACTATTTTCTTGTTGCATGAGTCTCTCTGCGTGCCGGTCTAACACTCCTCTATTTGCAGATTACAAGCACTTAGCGGAAGACTACCACCGGGCTAACCAGGAGGCCATAAGAGTCTTACTGCGCCATTCAGAAGAAGAAAGAGAGTTCGCAAAGCTGCTCGGCTTTGAACCGACCTATAATTACAAAGCGCCGCGCAAAAGTCGGGTTACCGACTTCCTCCGTGCTCCTTCTCCAGAACCTGACCCAAATCTTCTGCCAATCAGACTTGTTCATCTCACTGCCGAGCAAGAAATGGCGAAGATCCGGGCAATCAAGTCCCTGATCACCGGTGAGGAAAGCGAGTCCCAACCACCGGAAGCAACCGGGGAAACATCTTCCACTCCAGCTGGGTAAAAGGAAGGGGCTGTACTAGCTCTTGCTAGCGAACAACCAGCTGGCCGGTCGAAGAAGCGACCGAGGAAAGACCAGATAGGGCAGCACCTCGTTGATGAGGACTCCACTGAGCATGCCTCCACCGAGCTGGGGGACTAGACCGAGTAACAACCAACCGGGCCTTCCAAGAGCCTAATCTCTCCCCCAGTCTGGGCGCCTGAGATCAAGTACAAGGGCCGGGTAGTCTCTTCGGCCGACTCAGTGTATGCGGACAAGGATTATTCCCTCGGTTTCAACATGACCAAGGGGCTAGTCCTTCCTGCCGACATGAAGAAGCACAACGAGTTATTCGACCTGAAGGTGCTTCGCTCGACGGCTAAGTCGATCGTGTTGGTAAGTTCTCCACTCATTTCTTCAAGTTATTGCACGGTTTTTGCTCGGTTTTCTGAATACTCACAATCTTTCATTTGTTTGCAGGCCGCGCAAAAGAACTATCTCGCCCATGAGCGCATGATCGCCATGCGGCAGAGTCTGCGCGAGGCCATTGCTGAAAACAAGGCCCAAAAGGCCGAGATAGCAAAGTTTAAGGCCGCGCAGGAAGCAGTTGAGGCCGAACGAGATAACCTGAGCCAAAAGGTTGACCGTGCTGAAACGGGCAAACAGTGGGCCGTGAAGTCGACCAAAGCCTGGTATCTCGCCGAGCTGAGGAAGCTGCGTGATGCCCATAAAGAGGAGAAAGATAAGGCGGTTAGCGACGCCGAAGACAGGGGCTATGCTCAAGGCGAAAAAACGTATGAACGGCAGGTGCAGGCGACCAAGGACATCTTTTTCTAGTGCGGTTAGAAAGCTGCCGTGGAGAAAGTTGGTCTTGGTCAGGATGCTGACATGTTCCTACATCCGCCTGCGGCCTTCATACCGCACTATATGCAGGCCTATGCGAGGGCCACGCAGAAGAGGCTCATAGAGGAGGCCAAAAAGGAAGCCGCGGAAGAAGCCGCCGCCGCGCAACAAACCGAGCAAACTTCTCCTGAAGCATCTCAGGATGCCGAAGATCAAGTAGCCGATCGGGAGGTTGTCGCGGTGGAGGACGCGGATGATGAGTTGGAAGAAGGCTTGCCCGAGCACAGTGTGGAGGTTGCCGAGCAGACTCTGGAGGTCGCCGAGCAAACGGTTGACCTGGAATTGGACTGAAATGCCCCCTCTTATTTCCTACTTTATTTTCGTCTCTTTTCTTTCTTTGTTTAATGTAACCGGGCTAGGGCCCCACAATTGTAATGCAATTTCCTCAATCAATGAAATTTCAACTTTTTGCCCGCTGATCTTCTCTTTTTGTTCGGTTGCAACGTGCAAAATGTCCTGATTCAAACTTTAATGTACCACAACTGATAGGCCGGCTGGCCGCTCAGAATTTCCTCAATTTAAATGTTTGCGGCTACTCTCAACTCGATTTTTTTTTTTTGAACAAGCCAAGGGGACCAACGATGATGACTTCGTTATTTCACTTCGGCCAAGCTAAACCAGCTCGGCCATTAAATTGGACAAAACACCAATATTCCGACATGGAGTTGGATAGAACGCCAACATTTCCTTTCTCCGAGCGAAGTCAGCTCGGCCTCTTGTAAGTTGGACAAGGCACCAACATAGCGCTTGGCCGAGCAAAGTCAGCTCGGCTATTATTTGTTGGACAACACCAACATTTCGTTTTGGCCGAGCAGAATCAGCTCGGCCATTAAATTGGACAAAACACCAATATTCCGACATGGAGTTGGATAGAACGCCAACATTTCCTTTCTCCGAGCGAAGTCAGCTCGGCCTCTTGTAAGTTGGACAAGGCACCAACATAGCGCTTGGCCGAGCAAAGTCAGCTCGGCTATTATTTGTTGGACAACACCAACATTTCATTTTGGTCGAGCAGAATCAGCTCGGCCTTAACATTGGGCAAAACACCAATATTTTATTTAGGTCGGTTATGACGCCAACATCCCAATTGGGCGAGCAAAAAACAAGCTCGGCCCTTACGTGAATTGTTCTATACACCAATCATTTCGTTGGACAATAATACACCACCGTTGGTACGGTCCGCTTCTATACCGGCGAGAGAAGATTAGTCCGGTCCCATTCAAGTCGGTCCCTTTGCCCCTGGCATCCGCAGTGGCCTTGTATCCTTGAGGTGTCATTGTATGGAAAGATGCGATACAAAACAACAAGAGGGCTATTTTTCATTACAAAAAGCAGTGCTATCTTTACATTAAATGCCAAAAGGCTAAAGGTCGAAAAAGCTAAGCAATTACATTTTAAAAGTAAAAGATCTTAAGGTTGGCTGCATTCCACGGTCCGGGGACAGCTTTGCCATCTAAATCTTCCAGATGGTATGCCCCTTTGCCAGCGAGACCAGTCACCTTGTATGGTCCTTCCCAATTTGCACCGAGCTTTCCTTTGCCAGGGACCACCGTGTTACCCAACACTTTTCTTAAGACCTAGTCCCCGATCTTGAATAGCCTGGGGTGCACAGCCTTGTTGTATTTCTTGGAGAGTTCTTGCTGATAGGCCGCTATGTGGATTAGGGCCCGCCCCCTCCTTTCCTCGGCAAGGTTTAGCTCCAATGCCACTGCTTCATTGTTCAAATCTGGCTGGAAGCTTTCAGACCGGATGGTTGGCATGCCAATTTCCAGCGGGATAACGGCTTCCATGCCATAGGCCAAGGCAAACGAAGTCTCTCCAGTCGACCGTCTTGGTGTACTGTGGTACGCCCAGAGTATGCTAGGGAGTTCTTCAGCCCACTTCTCCTTGGCCTTCTCAAGCCGCTTCTTCAGCCCGTCCAGGATGGTCTTGTTTGAGGCCTCTGCTTGACCATTTGACTGCGGATAGGCCGACGTTGAATTATAGAATTCGATATTCAGCTCTTCACAAAATCCGCGAAAGAGTTTCCCATCGAATTAAGTGCCATTATCTGAGATGAGGGCCTTGGGTATACCGAAGCGAGTGATAACATTTTTCCAAACAAACTTCTTCACATCCTTTTCCTTTATGGTCGCCAGTGGCTCAGCCTCAACCCACTTTGTGAAGTAATCGGTGGCGGCGATGAAGAATTTGCGATTGCCCGGGGCTACTGGGAGTGGCTCCACTATATCCAATCCCCAGAGTGCGAACGACCAAGGACTTGTAAGGGGGAGCAATTCTCTCGCTGGCTGGTGGATCTGGTGAGCAAATTTTTGGCACTTTTCACATCGGCGAATGTATTTCTGCGTGTCTGCCTGCATGCACGGCCACCAATAACCTTGGGAAATTGCTCTGTAAACCAGTGACCTACCCCCAGTATGGCTGCCGTAGATGCCTTCATAGATCTCATAAAGGAAGGCTTCCACCTTAGCAGGGTGAACGCACTTCAGATACGGCCCGGTAAAAGACTTCTTATACAAGGCTCCGGACGGGGAGAGCCAAAACCACTCTGACTTGGCCCAGATCTTGTTGGCCGCCTTCTTCTCTTCTGGTAGAACTCTATCTTTCAGGAAGGCGATGATGGGGTCCATCCAGGAAGGACCCAAGTCGGCGCAGAGCACCTTGGTCATTTCCGGTTCCTCAATGCTTAGCCGAGGTAAAAATTCTATCATCAAGGGGTTAGGAAAAGCTGTCTGAGCAGAAGCAAGTCCGACCAATTCATTAGCCACGCTATTTTCCTCACGATCAATTTGTTCCATCCTTATTGCAGCGAACTTCTTGATCTCTGCGTGTATCAACGCCTGATACTTGGCCATTCTTTCGTCCTTTGCCTCATACTCCCCCGAGACCTGATTGACCACCAGCTTGGAAACGCTAAATACCATCAGGGCTGACGCCTTCATTCTCAATGCGCTTCTTAGCCCGGCAAGGAGGGCTTCATACTCCGCCTCGTTGTTGGATGCTGGGAGGCCGAGCGTAATTGCCTGCTCGATAATCAGCCCATCCGGTGAAGTCAGTACGATACCCAGCCCGACTCCATGCCTGTTGGATGCCCCATCAACGAAGAGCTTCCACATCTCGCCAATAAATAGCTTCCAGCAATCAGAGGGGTTCTGGGAGCTTCTAAATTCCAAGTCTCTGATCGGTTCATTCTGGTCTCTTTCCTTGCCTTGATTGAGCACGTCTTCCAAGAAGTCACCCGGCTCTTCTAGTGCGGTCGCTCTTTGGCCTTCTCCCGCTTTTGAGCCAACACTCGTTTCTATCGCCAGAACTATGGGCTGTGCTAAATCCGCACCAGCCAAATCAACCGGGCAAATTGGATGCGTTCCAGGGGTGAATTCCGCCACAAAGTCTGCAAGAGCTTGAGCCTTGATTACAGTGCGCGGGCGGAACTTGATATCGTACTGCCCCAATTCCATGGCCCATTTCAAAATTCTTCCGGTGAAGTCTGCCTTTTCAAAAAGCACCTTAAGCGGGAACTCGGTTAACACAACTATTGTATGGGCATGAAAATAGTGCACCAGCTTTCTTGATGTCATCATCAGGGCCAGCGCTAATTTTTCCAGCGGAAGATACCTCGTATCGGTCAGGAGCAAAGTCTTGCTCACATAGAAGATTGGCAAGTGCTGGATGCATTCAGCGCGGACTAGGACGACGCTTACAGCATGTTGAGAGACAGCCAAGTAGAGATACAATTCTTCGCCCGGCCGAGGTGTGACTAAGATAGGGGCTGAGGAAAGGTATATTTTTAAGTCTGCCAGTGTACGGTCATATTCGTCATCCCAAAAGAACTTGGCCTTCAAAGTTTTAAAGAAGGGCTTGCAACGATCTGAAGACCGGTTGATGAATCTGTTCAGCGCGGTTGCCATCCCAGCAAGATGTTGCACGTCCTTCGTGGAGTTTGGGCCCTCCAGCTCTTGTATAGCCTTGATCTGTGATGGGTTAGCTTCAATCCCTCGGTTTGTGACCAAAAACCCCAGAAACTTCCCGGTGCCGACTCCGAAGGCGCACTTGGAGGCATTCAAACGAAGTTTGTGGCGCTTAAGTATGGCAAACATTTCTGCTAGGTCGGTGAGGTGTTGAGACTTCTCCTTACTCTTTACCACCATATCCTCGATGTAGGCCTCCATTGTTCGGCCCAAAAAAGGAGCGAACATCTTTGTCACCATCCTCTGAAAAGTTACCCCGGCGTTCTTCAGTCCGAACGGCATGACTTTATAACAATACAGGCCTCTAGGAGTAGTGAACGACGTGATCTCTCGGTCCGATTCATACATGGCTATCTGGTGGTAGCCGCGATAAGCGTCCAGGAAGCTAACCCTCTGATGGCCAGCGGTCAAGTCCACCAGCTGGTCAATTCGAGGGAGGGGGAAGCTATCCTTTGGGCATGCACGGTTAACTATCTTATAGTCAACACAGACTCGCCACTTGCCATTCTTTTTCGGGACCACCACCGTGTTGGATATCCAACGAGGGTATTGCACTTCTTCTATGCTTAGGGGCTAACTACCTCTGCTTCCATACTCAGCATTTGTGAACCTCGACGCTGCCAATGACTCGGAACGGTACAGAGCATGTCGTGGTTAGAGAGTTCCTACTGAATCTATCCTGGCCCATGCGTCTTCATACGCGGTTTGGCGAAGAGTTCAACTGATGGCAAGCATGAAGGGGATCGGATGTCACGCTAGGCATAATCGTAAGGCTCTCACTCAGCCAAATGCCTCCACGTTGGAGACCAGAAGTGACATAATCCAACCGCTAAGTGCTTAGTTTCCCCCCCCCTAAAGGAAACCCCGATCCCCAAGAGGAAAGAAAATTAGGTGGGTCTTCTCGCGTGCCGCATTTCCATCAAATCCTCGACCGATTTTTCCTCGGCCTTTCTTCCTACGTTCGTCATATCGACTTCACTCTTCTCCTATGGTTCTCCGTGCATCATTTAGTGACTAATCCTTCTAGCTGATCTGGAGGTAGCTCTATATTCTATCCGAACGGAACATCTTCGCTTTCGCCATAGATCATATGGTCTCTATACTCACTCCAATCTTACTCGTTTTGTTCGCTCACTTTGAGCTGACAGGGTTGAGCAAAATTTACGAAAGAAACCTTGTCGCGTAATGTTTCAGTTTCAAGATCGTGTTATGTGCTTGCATGGCGTGCAACCAGCCCCTGCCCAAAATTAAGTTGTAGGTGGATGGGACTTTGAGCACCTAGAACTCTACTTGCTTTGTGACTGAACCCGTTTTGATCGGCAATATGATCTTCCCTACCGGCCATTCTGACTGAGAGTTGAAGCCAACCAAAGGGGACGTCGCAGGGGCCAAGTCTTTGTCCTCTAACTTCATTTGTTTGAACGCGTCATAATACATAATTTCGACCGCACTTCCCTAGTCGATCAAGATCCTCTTGATGTCAAAGTCTTTGACGCGAAGAGTTACCACTAGGGCGTCATTGTGGGGCATCTGGATCCGCTCCAAGTCCCTGCTCGAAAAGGTAAGAATGCCCTTCTCCTCGGTCTTCCCTTTCTTTACAGCGGGCCGAACGGAGAGCACTTCCCTCATGTGCTCGGCTTTTTTAATCATCCCTCTGAGCTCGCAGACCCTTGCTGGTTCAACGATGCCATGGATGACGTTGATTACACCTTGGGGTGCTGCCTCTAGGGCCGCTAGGCCGTTTGGCTCGGTTTGCCCCAATGGCACGGCTTTCATACCCCCATCTATGTATTGGTCAAGATGTCCCATGGCCACTAGCTCTTTCAAATGTTGTTTGAGCGGCAAGAAGTCCTCCGTTCGGTGTCCCCGTTCCTCATGGAAGGTGTAGCGATACCTTCAGTTGAAGCCTCTCTGTGCATTCCCCAACTTGGCCGGCCAATGAACAAAAGGCTCGCCTCTGATTTCACTCAAGATGCGGTAGATAGGGATTTTAAAGACTGTGGTGATTCCAGTCCGCGCCTTCAATTTTCTCTTAGCATCCTCCGCTGCATCACGGGGAGCATTAGCTCGATCGTTTCTGCGACCCTTGTTTCTGTCATCACGGTTTGGGCCACGTCGTTGATCTTTTGGCCGGTCGCTTGGGCGGTTATCCTTCTGCCCGACTAAGTGAACTTTCCCTGCTACCCTTCTGTCCGCTGCGACCGGATTAACCTTCTCGATCGCGGAGGCGGCATCATCCTCCACACGGATGTGCTCATTGATCCGCTGCATCAAGGACTCCATGGTTGTGGGTTGGTGCATCGTGAGCGAGTCCCGCCGCCGCCTATGCCCGACTGGGAGACCCCGTTTGTATTGAGTGATCGCTGGATTGGTAGGGCAGTCTAGGATCTCGTTGTAAGTTTCCCAGTACTTCGCGTTGTATGCCTTCAATGATCCCCTTGACTCCATCTTGACGCCCAGAAGATGATCGACCTCCTTCGGCGTTCGAGTGTTGGTTTTGAATCTGGTGACGAAGGCTTCCGCTAGTTGCTGCCACCCCTCTATACTCCCTTCTAGAAGCCTTTCGAACCACTTCAGGCCCAGTTCTCCCAAGCTTGCTGGGAATATGAGGCACATCAAGGCGTCATTGTGCCGGTGGCCAGCCATTACTTTCCGGTAATGACTCACGTGCATGTACGGATCCATTTTGCCGTCGTACAAGGTGAACTTAGACTGGTGGAATTCGGCAGGGAGTAGTGTACTCTCGATCTCCGGAGACAACGGCGTGGCTGTAAGTCTCGCCAGCTCTTTGTCCATTGGCGCATGGGCCATCACTCTGGGCGCTGGCATCGCCACTTCTTCGCTACAGTGAACGGGGGCGCTCAATCTCTGCCACGCCGGCACTCTTTGAGCCTCTCGACGGCACGCCCTCTTCTTCAATACATCCCTCAGGTTTCTGGAACGGGTGGAGAAAGAGTATCATGACGTCGGAGAATGGCGTAAGGGACGGTATGTGCTGTCTCGAGTGAGGGATCTGCCCTCCCTTCGGTCGGAATCTCCAACCCCATAGTTCCTGGTGATGGAGAGAGAGTGGGTCCTCTCTTGGCGGCGACTGCTAGAACGAGGGAACGGGGTGCGGTCACTGAGGTTGCCCTCTCCAGCAACACCTTTCCCCTTGATCTGACGTTTCAGCATCTCCATCTCCACCGCCATCCTGCGAATGATGGCGTCTTGGTCTTTGAGTTTGTGCTCCAGGTGCTGCGCACGGGAATCCTTCCACCGCCGACGGCCCTCTAGGCTCTTCGAGCGATCAGTACTCCTTCCGCGTTTGTCTCGCGCACCTCGCGAAGAGGTTTCTAGGCCCGCTGTGGCCGGAACATTCGAGGGGCCTTCTCTCCGTCGGACAGACTCTGGTGTGACGCCATCGATGACGGATAGTGGAGTTTCGTTGTTGTTGGCCATGGAGATGGTTGAAGAAGCTTGAAAAACAAGGTTTGAGTATCAAAGAACTTCCCACAAACGGCGCCAATTGTACGGGGGCGAAATATCCTCTACTTTCCGTACTCCTTGGAGTTCAAGCTTCACGTGACGGCGTCTAACCTGACAACAAAGAGAACGGTGAGCTGCCCGGCGGTGGTATGCCGGATAGACCCTTCGACGATCAAGTCAGATCACTAGAGGAAGAAGGAGGCTATTCGAGAGAGAGAGAGAGAGAGAGAGAGAGAGAGAGAGAGAGAGAGAGTATTTCAGATAGCGCAAGTTTCTTACCTCTAACGTTCATCCTCCCTTCTTTTTTCTAGGCTGGCCATGCAACCTCAAGAGTGTGCGCGTACTACCTCTGCTGTCCTTCCCTGGACAGTTGGCTGTGCTCGCCTCCCACCACCTTACACGTGTAAAGGCCAAATCCTCCATCCAGTACATGTAAAACTGTCAAACAGTACTGACACGTGCCTGGAGCAGATATCCTCTGCCTCACGCCATTGGCTCAAGTGACACACCTGACCAGTATACCAAGACCGGCCTATTCCTTGGAGAAAATCACATACACAAAGAACACGACCGAGCTTCCGAGCTATCCGGTCGGGCGCACGCTGACCTCTTCCCAGTCTAGACTCTTTCCGGACTGTCATCTTCTCAATCGCGCCGTGCCAACGCGTGCCTACCGCCAAACGCCTCATAGCCATAGCTCGGCCAGGCCTTAGAGCATGCCTGGTCGGCAAACCTAGCCCGACCGTGTAAACAGACCGGAGGGCCGTGCCGATTGAGAAGATAGCTCGACACCGAGAGGCTTGCCATACTCGCGTTACCGTAGCTCGGCCGTACTGACCGGTGCAAATCTCCCCTCTCAGCTCGGATGGCGAGCCGACTCAGTGGTCGGCTTGGTTTGGCCTACTTCTTCTTCTCCTTCCACGAGGAGAGTAGGAGGGTGGTGTTCTGAGAACGTGTTGGAGGTGAATGCTAATCCTCTATTAGACTGTTGTTTTTGTACCTGTTCAATGTCTTCCTCAAGTCTCCTTGACAGAACAAAGAGTAATGTGCAAGTTTCCTCGTTGATCACGTGATCTAGATATTTTAGACTAAGCCTCGTTTGGGAACAGGTTAATTTAATAATTTTTTAATTATTTAGTTAAAATATGAGTTAAAAAAAATAATATGTTTGAAATAATTTTTTAACATTTTACAAAAAGATATACAAAAAGTAAAGAGAAAAGAAAATTTTTAACTTTTTAATATAAATTATTAATTTTTTAACTAATTTAATAATTTTTTGACTTTTTAACTAAAATGAAAAGCTCCCAAATGAATCCTAATGCTCCAGGCCCCCTACACAACTCCCAGACCCCTACGGTATTTTTCAATATGTTAACGTACCAATTAATGTTGTTTGGCCCATCAAAATGACTTAACAATTAATGTTGTTTGGCCCATCAAAAGGAACTCATGTTCTCCAAAATGACAAATTACATCAATCCGTTATTGAAAGTTACAATAATTACCCTTGATCCCACCAATCTAGAAAAGAATTAGGGTGTGGCTTCTTTTACGAATTGGAGAGTGTTATTAGGCTCATAAAGATTTATTACGAATCTTGTTTTGATAATTTAAACCATTTAATGTGTAGAATTCGTCGAGTATTATATGTCTATAAAAAAATCACGTTGATCGGATATCAATAGCTATTTCATCGGATCAGATTTCTGTCAACTGTTTATTTTGTCACCATTTATTTTTTTTATTATACAAAACTAATTTGATCACATAGCTATTGATATCCAATCAACGTGATTTTTTACATATATATAATAATCGACTAGTTTTACACAGTGATGATTTAGATTATCAAAATGGGACCCGTAGTGGGTCCTTACAAGTCCAACAGCACCCCCCAATCCAATCACGGACTAGAGAGAAGCCAAATCCAAAAAATTATGCCCTTGCATAAAGAAGCACCGCTCTCAAGAGATTTTAGATTTTTTTGAAAGAAAATTTTGATTGTTCAAAGGAATAACAAGAATTATTTCATGGATCGGAAATGCTAACCGATGGATATCAAAGTGAGTGATCTCTCAAAACTTAACTTGTTAATATAACATACAAAAGGACAAAAATAACATTTTTGCCAAATATAAAAAGATGAAAACACCATCACACTCCCTTAAAACTATTTTTTACCTGTTCAATCATCCCTCTCTCTCTCAACATTGCCTAGTGTCGTCCAGTATTTTACGCCAATGTCGTCTTGTTTCTTGTTTAGCACTGTCTGTCATTCCATCTACCATCACCTTGCATCTAGTCTAACACTCATCTGATGTCCCACCCAATATCGTCTCTCTTTTTGCTCATCACAATCTAGTGCCATTATCGACCATATTGTCACTCTACCTACCCTCATCATCTTTACTTGCTGTTGGCAATTCTAACTCTAATCCTTACAACACTACCACCATGATTCTTTTTCATTACCACCATCAAACGTTACAATCCCTATCTCCATCTCTCATTTCTACAATTACCATTATAGCCCATAAAATTCATACTCGTCTTTTCATTGCATCATTATCACACCCTACAAACACACTGCCACCAGTCTTACATCCACCATCATAGCCACTAAAGACTAAAGGGTTGTTTAGGGTATCCTAAATACGTGTACTTTTTGATTTTTTGGACTAAAAAGTTGAGAAAAAAAAAAGATGGTTGTTTGGTTTAACTTTTTGACTTTTTACGAAAAAATATGTATTAAAAATTTGTATAAATTAGTGTGTAGGAGAAGATAATGATAGTAGGCAGTAGGCTGTACCGTCTGGGAGAGTGAATTAATGATAAGAAATGGTTGCCTACTTTTTGGGCATTGCATTGGACGGTATTGTTCGGTCTGTAGGGGCCATCACGGGTCCCGTCTTGATAATCTGAGTCGTTCAATGTGTAGAAATTGTCGAGTACTATATGCCTGTAAAAAATCGCGTTGATCGGATATTGATAGCTATCTGATCGGATTTGTTTATTTTCAACCGTTAACTATAACACCATTCATTTTTTTTATACGAAACTGATTTAATCATGTAGTTAGCAATATTCAATCAACGTGATTTTTTACAGACATATAGTATTCAACGAGTTCTATATGTTCAACGGTTCAGATTATCAAAACGGGACCTGTGATGGGCTCCATGAGCTGAACAACACTGTGTTGTTTGTGCACCCCGCCTGTGCAATTTTTCCAAATCATTTCAGCAACTTAGCAACAGTCTGTGAGGCGGTTCAGACTGCGTTGTAATAATTTGTGTATAAAATTAAATTTTTTTTTTGGATAAATAATGATAACTTTT